GATCGCTCAGCGCGGGTACGAGCACCATATTCGAACAAGTAAACGAGGATTATAGACGGGTCTTTCGAAAGTTCAAAAATTTCGTAAGATCTTTTTGAAAGACTCGGGGCAAAAAGTAAGGCCTACGTCTGACGCAGGTGGAGCTATAACATGTCTGCTGGAAACTATGAAACTTCGGAACTACCAGAAGGAGCTACCGGGGTCCACGGAGGACCGTTTGACTGGAAAGTAGCTGACCGGGTATTAGTTACAGAGAGATATTTGGGATGAGCGGTCAACAGGTTCAACCCATTTAAGATTGCAGGACCAAGGTGGATATATTTACTGACTCTTCTACAGAAAGGCATGGAACCGTTGCTCTTGCATTTGTTACACCTTTTTTGGACCTCCCCGGCTTTAGGGTATATCTCTGAGAGCTATAGAAAGGTAATAATTTCCTATCTAAGCCGGATCGTGTCAAACCCGACACGGAAAGGGTTACCAGGCCAATCAGCCTATTATCGTTTGCTCTAAAAGCGGTAGAGAATCTGATGGATGCCATACATAAGAGATAAGATACTGGTCCTCAAACACCACTACACCCATCCTACGGAGACTGATCGTCACAGTCTCGTGTGCTGGGTGAAAAGGTAATGTCTGTCCCGGGAGGGGGGTGCCCTGGGAGCATTTACAGATATATAAGGTACGTCTAACAACACCACATTGATTATGTTCTGAAAACTTTGGAATTAAAAGGATTCCCGGCATGTACAGAAGCAGGGTCATTATATTCTCAATTGGTACGACGGAGATGAGCTCAGCCACTAGAAGATGACCGCAGGATGGAGTGTTGTTTTCATTGCTATGGTGTCTGGTGCTTGACGGGCTCCTCCTGCACTTTAATAAACGAGGACCGAGCATGTACACAGGGATACGCGGACGATTTCGCGATAGTTTTAACTGAAAATTTTCCATACACCGCAAAGATCTCATGCAAAGGGCCCTTGAACAGACAACAGGTACAGTAGTCATGGCCTTTCCGTTAACCCGAACAAGCCAGTTGTTCTAATCACGAACAGGAGAGCGGACTTTGATAGGCTCACTCTTCGAGGACGCCAGCTTGATGTGACCCGTCTGATCTTGAAAGGGCAGATTGAGTAAATAAGTCAAAAGGCCAGTGCATGCATATTGGATGTAAAAGAAATTTTGGCTGACCATGGAAGTTGAATTTCTAAGCCACAGATAGTCGCTTGTCTTGTCGGAGCCATGAAAACCACGTCACTTTTGGCCAGGAAGGCACTTCTGAGACAAGACCCTTGGCTGTAGAGGCGGAGGCTCGGAACGATAGGTTTCCATACAGTTAAACGATTAGTGCGAGTAGAATGATCGAAGTAGCCTTGGTTACGGACGGAACTGAGTAGAAACTTTTATTTATGATATTTTTATGATAATGAGAGTGTAATAGGATAAGATTGATCTGGGTGCCCGAGCACTATGGAATAAGGGGCAACAAAAGGGCGGGCGAGTTGGGTCACGAAAGTTAGTCTTCGTCGGGTCCGAGTCTACCACAGGAATTTTTCCCCCTCCGTGGTTAGGGGCAGGATTAGAAACTGGGTGACCAGTCAACTCCAGGCCAAGATAGTGGACGAGCCAACGGCATTTGGACACACGCACCCCAGGGCCTTCTTATCAGGGCCTTGGCCAAATCCCTTAAATTTCTTAAACTGAATAAAGGCCAGATCATCGGGGTACTGGATGGTCAACTACCACATGCTTGTAGGGAAGCCTAAGCTCTGAAACTACCGAGCATATGGTCTGATCATATAAGCATCCCGCATCAGACATCAGCTCCTTGGTGACAGTTATCTGGAATCGGTGAAGGTGATGCTTAACCTAGAATAAATATGGTCCTATCTTTTATTGAGAGGAACGGGGCTTTGGTGTGCCTAAGTGCTGCCTGGTCGGGCTCCTCTTGTAAATAGCTAGTACTATAAAGATTTTCCTTTTGCCTATTATAAGCCAATTATATCTGTCATATGAGATATATAAAGTATAGTCTATGACGTCCGAGAGCGTAATGAGAGGGCATAATGGATTGTCATATCATTAAGCCCTTCCTCAAACGTCCTGCCAAATACATTGATGGAGTATGTATTAAAAAATGGTGCTGCTTTTGATTCGTATGAAACACTTTAATGTTGGGCAAACAATAATCATTACATTTGTATATTGGAAATACATTACTTGGAATTGGAATGAAAAATAAAGTGCACCTCAGGCATTATTCGTTATTTAACTTTCCGGTGACTTACAATCCCTCGGACCGGAGGCCCCCGGGCTCTGTCGACCTCAGCATAAATATCGCCTAGGGCCTTGATACATAAAACATAAATAACTATTATGTCACGTTGTGACGTCTGATAGGTAGTCGTTTTATTGGATTGGTTATTTTATATAATTTAACAAACTGTTCAACTTTGTCAAACCATCCTATAAGAACATTTGAGAATTGTCTCTGTGAAAATTCTTGGGAACAAAGCGAATTAGTTCCAATGAGACATTGGTAACATGAAACTTTATTTTTGTCTACAAACAAAAAATGACAGCTGACTGACATTTGGTAGTGCATAATGTCAACCAAGAATGGCTGTTCGATCATTTCTTGGAACTTGGGAGGTAAATAGCTAATAAGAGAACGTTAGTCCATATTACGCCAAGCCCTTTACATTCCAGTTTACTCCTTTGCGTAACACAATCTCACATATTTTAAGGTTATTGATTCTAATGTAGTATCTTTAGGTCATAGGTTATGGATACATTAATGGTAGCCACAATGAAAACACAGGTCTGGAAGGGTAAATAAACATTGTATAAGTAAAATACGTTACTGTGAACTGCTCATTTGTAGTGTACGTTTTCGACTCGATGAAACAGGTGACGTGACATGGAATGTGTCGGAGGAATTGAAGGCAGTCCCCTTGTTCAGTTGTGAAACGTACGAAATTTACAGTACCTCTGTTTTGGGAACTGTAATTCGATTTGGTGCTTATGCCGGACATGTCATCGAGTTTAAGGTATGATTAGATGCTTTGCAATTACCTGTTAATTTGTAATCAACTTTCTCAGTGTGAAGAATTTGAGGCACGTGATAGTGTGGTATTAACATGCGAGGGTTGGTGTATGTTGCATTGCAAACGTATCCAGGAAGAACCAAGCGAATGTGCTCTGAACACTACCTTTTCGCTCCTACCGGCTCTCGAGGATGGATACTTTGGTGATATTAAAATTGTTGCTAGTAATAATAAACAAGTAAGAATGCCGAGAGCGCTGGCTGACAGTAGTCACATTGTGAGTTAAGTTTCAGGTACATTCTTGCATCGTGCAGTTGCTCGGTGGCGAAATTTTGTGGCACTCGCAGCCGCCACCTTTAACAGGCCTTCCAGAGGATGTAATAGGGACGATTTTGAATTTTTTGTATACGGAATGCCTGCCCGAAAATCTCACGGAGGCTACCGCCCGGCAGGTTATAGCTTTCGGTGCACAATATCAAACCCATACCAAGCTTGTAAATATGTGTCAATTATGGTTAAAGAATATGGCGTTAAAGCAGCGTAAGTTTACATCATCATTTACACTGTTTCACTTTGTTTTGTCAATGGCTAAATTTAGGTGGGAACTCAAAAACAGACCAAATTTCATAAGAAAAATTGAACTTTGAAAAAACAAAATACTTTCTCCCTGACCTGAGTTTTAAATGGTTTCCACATCTTTTAGCAACCTTTAGAGCCACAAACAGTGGTCCCAAGATCTACAAAGCTTATCTAAAGACTTTTAGAGCCTGTTGTATTTTTGGGCATGCGCCATTAGGCTTTTGAAAAGACTTATACAAAAAATTGTGCAGTTTTGGTATCAAATACATAGAGTGTACCCATTAAAGTTTATGAAATTCTGACCATTTTTATTGTTTGATCCAAGATTTGCAGTTGGAATTTTTTTAAATTTGCAAAATCCAGTTTTGGACTTGTTATTCCATGTTGAAAAACACCCCCTTACTAAATTTTGTTGCGATAAGATTGTTTTGTGTCCCTCTTTAGGCATAGGTATTTTGAAATTTTGTTTACAGCATTATAAAGAACATACCCAAAATCCTAGGGCGCCATGAGTTTCATCTGCCCGTATGTTACAGTTGCTGAAAAAAAATTTAAGGCAGATACGTAAATACTGTAGCGACATCGGGGCGCCATCAGGTCGCCGTCAAGTCGATAAAGTTAGCGATTATAAGGAATGAGGGCGGATGTTACGAATTCTTTCCGGGAAATATGATGTGCTTATTCGAGAATGTTCTAGAATGCTATATAAACATAATTAATCGTGTTCAATTCCGTTCCGTCAATGTTGCCGAGGTGAAAACATCGAATTTCTGTTTTAAGTCAATCAATTTAAGGACTGATTTAAAATCATTAATATTTTATTGCCCATAAATAAATCACATAAGTAAATTTACATTAATATTCATACTTCTGGGGCATAATATTTTTAGTCAATTGGAACATTTAGTGAATTTTCTAAAATTTGTATTGGGTAAATGAAGTAATTACCACCTAACTAGCTACAGTTCTTAAAATGTAGCTCTCCAAAGGTTATTACTTTTGGAATGATAGGGCTGTGATTGTGTCATCACGCCATGAACTTTGAAATACTCTCCTCAAGTGGTAATTTATTTTGAATAAATGTGCTTGGAATACATATTAAAATGGCATGTAATTAAACCATTTTTTATTTCCTCTTTGAAATGGTACCTATATGGTACTAGTTGTTATTGGTTAGTTACATGTCCAAAGGTGTGTATCAGCTTATTACGTTATTATGAACAAGTTTAATAAAAAAATGAAGGAGCTTCCCATTTGTGAAAA